ATTGCTCAGAAGGAAACAAATGCAAAACAACTTAATTTTGTCTCGAACAATGTTCAACCCTCTAAAACTTTTGAAAATGGAACATCTATTGATGAATCTTCACCTCATGATAGTGCATAGTAAACAGTGTATAGCAAACAAGCTCCCATTAATTATAAAATTCCCCTGGACAACATATGACTTAGAATTTAGAAATATAAATAATAGTTTATATATATATATATATATATATATATATATATATATATATTGGTTTTTCGAGACAGGGTTTCTCTGTGTAGCTTTGCGCCTTTCCTGGAACTCACTTGGTAGCCCAGGCTGGCCTCGAACTCACAGAGATCCACCTGGCTCTGCCTCCCGAGTGCTGGGATTAAAGGCGTGCGCCACCACCGCCGGGCAATAGTTTATATTTTTAAAAAGAAGAATTCATAGAGTTCAAAACTATTTAAAAATATTCAATATAATCATTGGAATATTTTAATTGTGTGTCCAATATTTTATTTACAACAAAAATTGTTTGCCAATAACATCTATTCCTTTGTTCATGTTTACTAAACTGTGTGTTTTCCCCAAAAAACAAAGTTGTTGACTTAAAAGAACATTGAAGTTGCGAAAGAAAGTGTAAATAGTATACCAAAATAATAGATTATGTTTTGAAAATATGCACATGTATACCAAAATCTAGGCTGTGTGTGTGTGTGTGTGTGTGTGTGTGTGTGTGTGTGTGTGTGTCTACATGTATGTATGAAACCCAAGATTAATTTTGGTATTGTCTCTCAGGTTCTGCCTATGTTGATTTTAGATTCCAATTCTCTAATCAACCTTCTGAGTGGAGAAGTCTGGCTGGCCAGTGAGGCCCTCATGATCTACCTGTCTCCCCTGAGGCTCTGGAATTACAAGTGTGTGACACCAAGCTACCTCTAAAATAATGTGGGTTTGGGGGACAGAGCTCAGATTCTCATGCTTATGCCTACAAGTGCCTGAATCTATCTCTGTAGACCTAGATAAATACCTTTAAAGTAGAATATTTTGACATGAAGAAGCTTGGTTTGCATAATTATCTTTGCTAATTTTTATTTTACATAGATTCAAAAGAAATCCTCCATGGTTAGTTATTGGTGAAAAGTTAATCTTAAGTGATTAATTAAATCATTTGATTTAATATGATTAACATGATATTAAATCAACCTAATTACTCAAAATGAATAGTGACACTGTGACTGTTATACATTGCCACCATTAAATGTGTTGGTGATACAAGATAGATCAAGCTGGTAGTTGCTTCCATGCTTAAATAGAATCCCAAATCTTCTATGCGAGATTATGTTATGAAGCAGGTAGATTCACTTTTGAAGTAAGTACATTCTATCAGTTCATAATACTGTTTTCATGTTTTATGATGATTCTGATTAATGATAGAATATATACAAATCTATGTACATATATACATATTTATAAATGTTCATGTATATTGTGATAGCATGTCCTATACATATAGGTAACTGAATAAATGGAATTGAATATATAATATATATAACTGAAGTGATTATAATTATATATATATATATAATTTAATATTGAAGGTCTTCAAAATGATGTTCAGTGAGGACATTGTTCATTTTTAAAGTTCCAAGTACCTTTTGGCCTCTTCAAAAAGTTGCTCTTTATTCGTTGGAAGGAATTTTCAGAATTCTTAGACTGGTGAAGGACCTTCTTCTAGCACTGATAGAAAACAAGACGTGCTCTAAAGATTTTAATGACTTTTATGATTTGAGTTATATATTCTAGTTGGGAAAGATGTTTGTTTAACAGAAGCCCAAAAATAACAAGCAGATCATGCTTGCATAAGTAAAACACATATTGCAAATGAATGTCATGCATGGATGGTTGTCTTCATTTTAGTATGTATTTGTGATTCTGAACAAGTAATAATACAGTTAAGCAAAATAATTCATTCTAAGTTGGAGTGAGTAAAATTCCAGATCCAGATTTGGGTTTTTAAAGGGAAGTTGCAGTAGTGGCAGATTCTGTGTCTACAATTCTTAAACCAGGAGGACTCCTGCTCTGTTTTCTTATTTGGTGCAACATAAAATGAAGTGGTGGGTAAAAGCATAGTACAAGAAGTTGAACTGTTTTAATTCCTAACCACCCTTCTGTTGACACAATTGGCTGTGAGAAAGTAGTCTGCCTGTTTATCCTGGCCAACATAAAGAAGGAAAGTGTGCAAATAAAAAGGAATTGAATGAGAATGTAAATAAGCATCTGTGGAAGAAGAGGACAGCGGAAATAGTGGAACTTGTGGGTTCCTACTATGCACACATTAAGAGAGTGCCTTTCACATCAAAATCAAGGAGCAACAGTGATTATTATTTTTTTTCATTGATATCCAGCAGCTACTAAAAATACTGCCTGTGTGCCAGTGTTTCTCTACAAAACTAAGACTGCCCAAATTAAATGAACTCCATTTATTGAAACAAACATCCAAATTTGAAAAGAAGGTGTAAGGATTGAGGCATGTTCTTAGTCTGTGGTTTCCAATCTTAAATACACAAAGAGGCTGCAGAATGATACAAAGGATATATTTCTGTCAGTTTAACACATTTTATGTTCTAACCAATATTTCTTATTTTGTTTTCAGAATTGGTACAAAATTATATTCCTTTATTGCTTTTGGTAATTTAAAAACTATTCTGACTTTTTCAAAGAGAATAAACATATGGATAATGAAGAGGAACTCAGGAGGAGTTTTGAAATAACCTTTCAAAGACTCCAAATAGTTTGTATAAAATGACTTTATTCCCTATTGGTTTAGTAACTGAGGAATGAATGAGGCTTTTGCAATAGGCCATTATTTCAGAATCAGTGGTCCCAGACGACTACCCTCCCTGTGGATGCTCCTGGAGCAGATGTTGCAGACGACATGGGGGATATTACAGAGACAGGGCTAGAAGCAATTACACCACCATTGAGTATTAGTGCTTCATGCTTTGTGATACACAGAACTTATTCTGCACAGTACTTCAGAATTGGAAATGTCTAAAAAACTATAGTAGCTGAGTATTTGGGAGAGTTGTATTTATTCTTCGTTTTTTGACAAATTAATTTTCTGGTCACTTTTTAACTTAGCCAGCAGGCTTGGATGAGACTCCTTAAGAAAGGAAGAATTCTAGATTATTTTTAATATGCCTATGAATTTTAAACTTTTGTTCAAATCATATATCCTTTCTAATTAAAATCAGAAATCCATTGATATTTATATCAGAAACATCTTAAAATAATACAAACCTATACATATATGCATATTAAAAATTACTTTGTCACTATGACAAAAATCTGTATAATCCCAAGGCAGACTAAATATCAGCATGGAGGGGGAATATGGATGCAAAGTCCCATCCCTAGCTGAGAAGCAATTGGCAGTTCATAGATACTTGGAGAGAGAGTTTTCTTTAAGACTATAAGTAGCTCACAGTAAGTGGAAACTCTCCAGTGGAAGGCCACACACATAAGAACATATGGGCAGCATGAACTGGAATTCATGGGTTTAAGAATAAAAAGAGGACACAAAGTTTGGTATGTAGGGATGGAGGATAAATCTGGGGGAGTTGGAAGAGGGGGTTAATATATTCAAAATAAATTTCACCAAGTTTTTAAAGAATTTATATATTCCTATTGCTAAATGCCAAACATTTAGTGGTGCTTATATTCTTTTTTGAGATGATCAAGTACAGCCACAAGAAGAGACAGAGGAAGATGCATGGACCATCTAGCAGGCAGAGGGGGGAAAGTCTGGTATGTAAGCTTAGTTGAAGTTGGAGGGAAGTAGTGTTGGTACCCAAATACTGATCAGATTGTGTCTTCAATATTCAAGGCAAAACCTGAATTTGACTTGTCTAAATAACAAAGTCCAAGAGTTAGAAAGTCTCTTTCTATGGCTTGCTTACCATGTTTGATATTAAAGAAATAAACGGTTGAATTGTTGGTTTCTCTGTACAGCTCCAGTATTTCCCAGATAACTGAAACTTTCCTCAGGCAGATGCTTAAATCATGTATAATGAAGTCAGTAGATTCACCCACTTCAAACTGTAAGGAGAAAACTAATAATAAAACTCCACATCATGTGGCATGGTCAGGTACACCTGTAGTTTTTTCACATGAGATGTGGAGGAATAAGGATTAAAGATCTCAGGATCATCCTTGGCTGCAGAGAGAGTGGGAGGCCAACAAATATTATTGGAAAATGTCACTAGAAATGTCACTTAAAACATTGCTGGTATTAGCCATTATTATTCTTTTAATACTCACAAATCATCTTTTATTATTCTTAAATGACTTATTTTATAGGACTTGTCATATTAAACAAAGTTTAATATTAAACAAAATTAAATATTAAATAAGTGTTTCATGCCAGGTACTGTGACACAAACATTTAATACCAGGAGGCAAAGACAGGTGCATCTCTATGAGTTCTGGGCCAACATGGTCTACATAGTAAGTTCCAAGCCTACTTACGAAGGCTGTATAGTGAGACCTTGCCTCAAAAGAACAAAAATAAAAACGTGATTTATAACTCTAAAAGCATACATTATTGTTTTTGTATGATAGACAGCTTTCAGAAAAGAACATAACTTTCAATCTTGTTAGATATTTAGAAGAAATGTTTCTAAAAATAAGTGGAGAAAGTGTTCAGCTTCAAATGTCTACCCACTTTCTAACATTTTAATATGACAAACCAGGAAAATAAAATTTGAAGGGAAAAACAAAGTGTGATGAGCGGTCATCCTCTGTGGCCTTTTATCAGAAGACTTGAGTCACTGAGAATACAGTCAAAACAGTAAAACACCGTTTTCTCCACCATCTACATATTCTGCATAATACCCCATGTTGCAATTGGTGAAGCTACAGTGACAGACATTGGTACACTGTAGTTATTAAAGCCTCTCTCTACTTTTCCTCTCTCTCTCTCTCTCTCTCTCTCTCTCTCTCTCTCTCTCTCTCAGGATTACAGAGTGAATATTTTTCTTCGTCAGAAATGGAATGATCCTCGTCTTGCATACAGTGAATATCCTGATGATTCATTGGACCTGGACCCGTCCATGTTGGATTCCATTTGGAAACCAGACTTGTTCTTTGCTAATGAGAAGGGGGCTAACTTCCATGAAGTCACTACAGATAACAAACTGCTAAGAATTTTCAAAAATGGAAATGTCCTTTACTCAATAAGGTAAGCAGAGACTTAAAAAGCCAGTTTTTGTAAAATTAGATTTGGTTTTTGTTTGTTTTGTTTATCTCTATTGAGATAGTTTTCAAATTTGGGGGAAACTTATTATTCCACTTGAGTTGTCCTAATATATGATATTGCAAATATATCTAATCAATAACAACAATCATAAGTACCTAATCCAGGGAAAATATGAATTCCAAAAATCTATCTTAACAAGTCAGTGATGATTATTAAAATAAACAAGTTGGCAGGATTCACAAAGGCAATTGATAGGCACCTGGGTCACATATCAAGACTCTAGAACTCATTTGACTTTGGTAGGTCATTAAATATCGCATAGGTACAGGTTCAGTAGACAGGGAAAACAGCTATTCACAGAGATAGACTTAATCAGCTTCACATTTTAAGACTCTTCCAAAATACATGAATTATTGTTGAAAAAATTATTCTACAGTTATTTTCTTAGCTGTGATAAACAACAGGTCAAGGACAGAACTCATGCCATCTTTCACACATGAGAAATATGCCATGATTAAACTGACATGCTGTGTTGAAATATTTGTATCAACAGTATCATGTTCTTAACTATAAATGAAATTAGACTTCACATTTAGGTTTTAAACCTAAAATTAACTCCCTTTCTGTCTTAGTTTTGTTCTTCTTATTCATTGTTCTTTTTGCAAGGAATAGAGGTATTTCATTTTCATCCTATCTTTCCAATATCAAAGTGTCTCTACTTTTACCAAGTAGTAGAATAAGCACAAAAAATGAATTTTTAATCTTAGTGGCATGATGATTTTAAAAGCTTTTCTGCCAAGGGATTTTCCAAGTTATGTTGTTCTGTATTGCTTCTCATCTCTTCATCCTATTGTACTCTGATGCCTTTTTATATTTTCCTCTTTCATATGCCTATATTTCCCTTTAATAGATTTCTTTTGCATCCTGAAAGTGTTTTCCATTAGCTGTCAATTTGTTCAGATTTCTGAACACCTGCAAATCAGTGAAATTCATGATATAAAGAAAGTGCTAGGGCTTGTCCCTAATTAAGACAAATCGTATATAGAAGAATAGCTTCATGGTGACCTCAGTTCTGGACAAGAGAGTTCTGAAATCTTTTTGGAAATTGTCAGAATAAATAATCAGAAAAAATAAGAGTTTAACTTCTGGGAAATTGTGTCCAGAAAAAAATATTTCCTTACTCTACCTAAACACAACTAAAAGCACTGGACACACAATACGTGTAAGAAGATGTAAGAAATACTCAGAAGTGGATGAAGTAGACAAGCTCACTGTGGGCTCAGAAACCTGAGGATCAGGCAGCGTGGATGATTCCTGACATTTTCTTCTGGCCTTATGCATCGCAGACTTGGAGGTGAAGAAGCTGTCGACCCAGAAGCATCAACAGGTGCTGACAAAACAAATCCCAGCTAAAGCTTAGTTTTTCCTTCTAGTCTACTTAGGAAAGCAGCATCGTAACAAGAGAAAAACATGAACCAACTTCAAGAGTCCAGCCAAATACTGAACAATGACAAAAAGGTCACACAACCTCAGTCCAGCTTCAAAGCCAGCATGCTCAGGATGAGAGCCTAGGCTTTCAATCCAGAGAGGCCACAATGAGATATCTCATCGCATGAGTCACAGTCAGAAAAACAGTCAGCTACCTTTCAATGCAACAGCCTGTGATCACCCTCCTAGGCTAAAGCATCAGGAAAGATTCTCATATAAAAAATCTCTCTTCCATCAGAAACAAGTCCTTCCTCTGTGTGTTGGTAGTGTCCCATAAATTTCATGGACACTCAAGACTTTCAAATCATCTTGCAGTAATAAAGCCAGTCCATCCATGGTGTAGGTGGGAACCTATTCCCTCACAGATCAATATGAGATTGGTTAGAAGACCTTGACTTCTACTTATACATGGAAGTATAGCAACCTTATAGTTTCAGAGACATCTGGTTAAAAAAGAAAGTTAAAATAAGATCCAATGTCCAACAAAATAACATAAATATGTCTACAGTTTAGTCAAAATTCATTCATCACATAAAGGACCAGAAAAATCACAGAAGAGGGGAAATGAATGCCAAATATATAGCAGGGACATTAAGTATTGGATGGGCCTTTGTCATGGTAAAAATTCCTCAATGAGTAGTTGCGAATAGGCTTGGCCTAGATAAAAAAATACAAAGTATCAGCAAAGAAGTAGAACTTTAGCATTAGACACCCAATATCTTTCAAAAATGAAGATGAAATGAAAGCCCTCATGGATGAAACAAACTGGGTGAATTTATCAGAAATAAATCTATTCTGAGAGTATAGCTAAGGAAGTTTTCTAACTGAAAGAAATGGTGAAGGAAGGGACGATAAAATTTCAACAAGAAAAAAAAGCATCGGAAACTGGGTAAATACAGTAGGTCTTTTTTTCTTCTTATCTGGAGCTTACTAAATTACTTTCAACAGTTGAGCTCAAGTTATAACTGATGCAGAAAGAAAATGAAACTAAAAAATGAGACATATATAGAAAATACACTTTAACAAGTCAATGGTGATTCTTAAACATCAATCAGGTTGTCATTTTTATAACAAATAGAATTAATGATGCTGATACTATTTAGTGTTGGCAACTACGGACTCAGTAGGCATATATTGGTGCTATGATTAATTGGCAATGTGGTTTATTAAAATGTGACAAGATTTATGTGTTCCACAATTCGGTAATTTTATTTCTAGGGACCTAAATTACATATGTAATGTGTGTATATAAAATCTGCATACAAAGGTACTTCTTGTGATAACACAAAGTATCTTACATGTTCATTAATAAGCAGTTAGGATGTCTGACTGCTCTTCTAGATGTCCAAAGTTCAATTCTGAGCACTAACATGGTGGCTCACAATAACCTATAACTATAGTTCCTATGGATCCAACAACCTCGTCTAGCACCAGACACATATGTAATTCCCAAATCTACATGTAGGCCAACATTCATACCTATAAAATTATGAAATGAATTTTAAGAAAGAATATGACTGAACCCAATGATAGGTTCATGATATTAAATATTTTATATAAGGTACACATGAATATATTGAATAACATCAGCCTACAACATACATTTCATTTATGTTTAAGAGAAATGCTAGCCGGGCGGTGGTGGCGCACGCCTTTAATCCCAGCACTCGGGAGGCAGAGGCAGGCGGATCTCTGTGAGTTCGAGGCCAGCCTGGGCTACCAAGTGAGTCCCAGGAAAGGCACAAAGCTACACAGAGAAACCCTGTCTCGAAAAACCAAAAAAAAAAAAAAAAAGAGAGAGAGAGAGAAATGCTTTATGCTTATTTTGTTTTGAGATAATTCTGCTCGTGTAAGGAACAGAATATATATATACATAGTGCTAGGAGGATGGAAACATTCAGATCTGGGGCCTTGCTAGTTAGTTGGCAAAGTCTACATAGTGATTTTTAGGCCAAAAGAAGAAGGAGAAGAACAAAGGTAAGAGTAAGGGAGAATGGAAGCTGAGGTTTCAAAAAGAGCAACCAAGAGTGTCCTTTGGCCTCCACACAACTATACACACAAGTACACATTCAGTCACAAACAGGCACACACACACATGTACAAACACACCAATTAAATAAATAATTAAAAGCAAATTAAAGTAACGAGTCCGAAATTTTCTTTTATCGAGTGGCATTGTAACCATTGCACGATTGCCACACAACGCACTACTAATTTGTTTGTGACTCACTTGTTTGTGATAAGGATGGGATCAAGGGTCTATAGCACTGGCAGTTGTGTAAATGTGCAGTGCATGGGTCATGTACACTAGATGTGCAATAAGCTGTACCATCTATTAATTGGCTTACTCAAGTATGTCCTGTGATGTATACACAATGACAAAATCAGTCTGTGATACCTTTCTTAAAATCTATCACCATTTAAGCAGCACATGCCTATGTGCATGGATCTATGAAAGAACTTTAAAAGGAAACACATAAATTTATTAAAAATGATCAATTACAGAAATGAGAGGTAGAATTTATGCCACAATAAAGAACTATCAATTTTACCCTAAGTAAATTTATGTTGTTTGGATTTTTAAAAATGAGTTATGTATTACTTAGAAAATAAATACATACAGTATGTGACAGTTTCCATTAGTCGTTATCAACATCCTGACCCCTCTGTGTTGCAGACTCGTGGTGATTATCAAAAAATCCATGATAAGGAACACATGGCCCAAGTGTATTCTTCCCTGCTAATTCAAAGGTTGTATTTGTGCTTCTGCTGGTGTCCTTCCGTGGCAGAGTGCTAGTTCGGAATGTGAAAATTCCAGAGTGCCATGTCAAGACACATACATGCACACCTTTGTCAATGGCAGCATTCTGTTTTCTGCTAAAGGTGTTAACCTCTCCAGATAGCTTTCTTGTGGCACAGGTTATTAAAAAACAACGTGTCACCAGAGCTCATGAGACAACTCAGCAGGGAAGGATGCCTGCTGCCAAGCCTAGCAGCCTGAATTCAATTCCCAAGGTGGAAAGAGATAATTGATTCCTGTGAGTTTCCCTTCATTCATGTGCTATGGGATGCCCATTTGCACATGCACCCATGCACATGCACAAATTAATTAATGAGTTAATTAATGATAATAAAAATGTTAAGTAAAGTTTCTTTATAATATATAACACCAGGGATCAGGGAACAATCCTTTTTTTTTTTTTTTTTTTTGCAAAATTAGAGTGTGCTGATTATTTCATTTGACAGAATTGAAATTGTGTGTGTGTGTGTGTGTGTGTGTGTGTGTGTGTGTGTGTGTGATGTATCTAATAAGATTATGGGCATTTATTTATTGGTGTCAGCAAATGGGACTATCAAGATGTCTCAGTGGGTTGAAGCACATTCCACAGCAACTGATGACATGAGTCGGATTCCTAGGACCCATACGCTGAGAGAAAAGGACCAACTCCTGAAAGCTGTCATCTGACCTCCACATGTGTGTCACAATGTGCAGG